TACACGCCTGATACTTTTCATAGGTTTGAGACCCCCGCAATTTACTTCTTTTAACAAAATGCAGATTTTGAAACACTGTACCTGTAATGAGTGATAATGTAATTGAATAAAAGCTGTGAGGATGAATGGAGCTTTAAAGGTCACTCTAGTAAGAAGAATTAATGTGTTATACCATTAATAAACCATGGAAAAGTGTGGAGCAAAAGATAACATACTTAAGTTATTGTTAATGACATAGAGTTCACTGCTGTATATCTCTTGGCTACAAATATAGAAAGTGACTTTTCGAGGTTGCTGAGCAGTATCACTGTGCATACTGTATATAGAAGATAAGCAGTCTTTAACTGTGGTGCAGGAGCTGGGCAGATGTAGCCTACTTCTAACAAAAGTCTATCCTTGAATGGAGGCCTGGAAGAACAAAAGGCTGGTGAACACTCTACAGGGTCTTTTCCTGCTAACTGCTAGATCCAACCAAAGTTACAGCAAGTAAAACTTATTACCATGTTAAAACCATTCGGCGATGTTAATGCACATGAAATTTCAAGTCACCCTCTAGTAGGAGCTACGCCACAAAAGAATTTTGGCAGCATGTTTAGGAAAGGGACTAAGGTCCCTAAAAATGGTAGAGAAACTGGGTCACTCTTTGATCTGGAGAGATGGATCGCTTCAGGAAAGGTCACTGGGAAACATGCCATCATTTGCCATACAGTTACTTCCACCATTTGAACGACTGGAGCTGCCAATGCAAGGCACAGGTTGTCTGTCCTAGGTGTGCACACCCCACCTGGCTGGGATGCAGCTGAGCTGTCGCTTTTCACCGCCGCTGACTTCAAATTAAAACTGTGCTCTGAAAGCTGTTCTGCAGGCTGCTTAGTTCCTGTGGTGTGGAGAAATGCTGATGTATTGTTCCGTTGTCTCTGGAGAACGTAAACTTACAGCCTCCTGTGATGAAGAGTGTGGCTGCATTCGGGCATACAGATATGTCGTTGTTTTCTAGAGCTATCCTTGTAGTTTGTAAATTCTGCTACAGACTGAGCAGTCACAAATGTCGTGGCTTCATGTATGACTTTAAATCCAAGCATTTCTTTTTGGGAACAGGCATATGTCCATGTACTAAAAACAGAAACAACTTCTCTCTGCCCTTTGCCATAATCTTCAACATCTCTATGCTAGTTTGGCAATCCTTGTAACTAAGTACATTTTATGTAATGCAGTTCCCCTCTCTGTCAATAATTCACCACCTACCCTAAACAACAATAATTTACATTCAACTCGCTTCTATATTAATCATTTGCCTGCACACCAGCATCTTGGCAGCTACTGAAAAACATAAGGAGTGCTTGCTTTTATTCACTGTCATGTGCCAAACTGTCTCAAAGATAGCAGTATTCAAGAAAAGCCAAATAGTCTGGAGAAGGGCGTGAATTCCAGTTCCTAGGCAAATTCAGCTGTATTACAGATTGAAAATATTATACCTAGCCTAATCGAGAGCACAACCAGCAGTAATACTACAGTTTGTTTGTTTGTTTGTTTGCTTCGTTTTTAATTTATTCTGACTACACGCAAGCTTGATTGGTAACAGATGCAAAGTGGGGAAGAAACCAAGCAAGTTGATAAAATGGAGGTAAAAAAAAAAAAAAATCAGCTGGCAGCACTGTGCTGGTGCTGGTTATATCCTTCCTTATGCTGGGAAAGCTGGAGTTACTGGAATTCCGTTGGCTGGGAATTACTGAAATGGGTCATTTGATAAAAGCAATATGGATCAAATTATTTCATACAAAACTCTCAGGGTTCCTGGGTGTTTAGCCAAAAGCTAACTGTTAGTACAATTAACAGCAGTCAAACCGCACAGAAACTTTCTAGTTTTTGCCACGGAGGAAGATGGAAATACCAGTCCCATTCTATCTGCAGTCTAAAAAACCAACAATCAAAAACCAAACCAAACCAAAATCCTGACAGCGGCGCAGCACTGAACTAATCCGACATCAGCTTCTTCCCCTGCAGTGTCTGAAGCAGCAAGACAATGTCCTGCGTTTTTTGGCAATCAGCGGATCAGATAGAAGAGTCTAGCAAGACAACAAGGATGTGTAATCTGACATGATTAGACAAGGCTCTTTAGGAACAGAACATTCATAATTGAGACAAAGAAAGAGTATTAATAACACTTTCCTAACACGGCAGTTAGCCATTTTATATTTCCTTTCTTTAATCTTAGTGTTTTTCAACAAATCATGGGATTTAATAGCGTGTTTTGGCAGATTAGAGGATTTATGGCCCAGATGTTTTTTGTTCTAAAAATGGATTAGGGTGTAAAGTTTGCTGGAATCCATGGAACATGTTGAGGCAAGCCGGTCATTTTGTGTGTGATTAGTGCCTGCCTTCTGTCTCACAGTCCCTCCATCTGTCACAATTCACCAATGGATCTGGTTAGATTTAGCCTCATGTCACAAACAGAAGTCCCTTTTCTGGGCAATTTCATATTACAGATTCATTTTATGCCATTTTTATGCCCTAGTTAAAAGACAGAAAGAAGCGTGTATGTGCGCGCGCTCATGGGGATGTGGAAAGGGGGAGGGAGATGGAGAGATATTAGCCTCTCCTTTAATGTTTGAAAAATAGACTGGGGCTAGGAGTCTCCCATCAGTATTCTATCCCACAAATCACATGCAGATCATAATAAGTATAACCTACAGTACGCTAAAGGAAAAAAATGACAAAGTGTCACATTTAAAATTAAATAGTATTAGCTGTGCCGGTGATGCTTGTAACATTTTAAAAGGAAATAATTCAGTGACTACGAAGGCTAAGCCCTAGGCTGTGAATTTGCAGCAAAACAGTGGACATTTGACCTACTATTAGCGGCATGAATAGGAGTGGGAATGTAGGTCTGTGTAGCTGTGGTTTCTTACACATTTCTGAATGACAGGTGGTGGTGGGGAGCTTTCAGTGGATGAGGTTTCTCTTCCCAGCCATTATGCATTTCATATCTATAGCAAACCACCGCCACCTGTGGTTTATTTTAATGTATTCACAAGTTTGAAGAAGGGGAAGAACGAAATAGTCTATTTTTCAGAGTGTGAGATTGCTGGCGTGATCAAAGCTTCCTGGAACTCTTCTCCAGTTACATCCTGCTGCACACAAACCACAGGGCCGACCTCTGCAGCGTCAGGGAAATATTGAAACGAATGGGATCCAGTATCAGGACGACGATTTTGGCAGTGAGGTTTCTCATGCTTGCTGTCCAGGTGGCTGTATCATAACAAGAACAGAATTACAAAGCACGGATGGGTTTCTGGGCATTACCTTTTAACTCTTTCTGATTAATAATGATAAACTGTTGGTGCATTTCAACGATGAAAGCTAAAGTGTTTTCTTGTAACTTTCTTTTTTTAAGATATCCTTTCTTCTATCACGTTGTCAGGTTATTTAAATGACCACGATGCTGTTACCAAGGCAATCCAGGAGGCCCGACAGATGAAGGAGCAACTTCGGAGGGAACAACAGGTGCTGGATGGGAAGGTGGCTGTTGTGAACAGCCTGGGTCTCAATAACTGCAGGACAGAAAAGGTGAGTTTCCGAAACTCCCTTTGCAAAGCGCCAGAGATGGCATTTGGCTCTCCCTACAGATGCGTAGGTTCTTCCTCCTTTTTTTCCCCTCCTTTTTCTTGCTCTATTTTCTTCTTCCCCATTTCTAAACAGAATAGTTGCTTCTTTCAAAAAAAGGGAAAAGTAAAATGAAAACCACAACCAAAAGATGACATGAGGGAGAGACCTGGAGACGCTCGGGGGAGAGCGGGGAGGAGGCAGAGATAGTTAAAGCCCTCACGAGAACTTTGGAGGCCACTAATTCTCTATGCCAGCCTGTCAGTGCGTATTATGAAAAGGTGATCTTGGAAATCTCTGGGTCTAAGTGGAAATCTTGCTTTATGGAAATGCTTATATGTGTTTGTGAGATGAGCTGGATTTGAAAATATTCAAGCTTCTTTAGGAACATAAGCTTTGCTGATGCTCAGGCTCAGCTTCTGGGTATTTAGCCTTGTGAGGTTGTCATATATGATATTTTATGACCATTGCAATGTAGCACTGCCATGTCACATTAGATGACTTAAGAAAAATGAAGAAGTGGAGAATCGACAACACAAACTGCACCAAATATTTGCAGTGAAACTTAGAGGCAGCAGAACATATGGGCCTTACCACCTTCTGCTGTTGAACTGGCCTGTGAAGCTGTGCTGTAACAAAATACTGACTAAGTGAATATTCTTCAGTGAAATGTGTATGTACTGCAGCCTTCACATGTGTCAAAGAGGTAGTGATTTGCTGCTGGAAATACCTGATGTCTTTCTGTGCGCTGCCCTGGCTTCTGGAGGATAAATAGACCTGCCAGTCCTTGCTGCCACAGTTATAGTGAGCTGTCCTTCTATTACTGCCACCGAAGTTATACATCCAAACTCTTGCGTGCGTCTCAGCATCATAGGCTTAGCAAGACCTTTTCCTCAGTTCCTCTCTTCCCCCGCAGTATTTTCTGAGGTGACACAGCCTTCGTCGTGCGGTATAACAAAGATGACCACTGTTGCATTCAGTGTAAACTGATTTTTGTGGAAACCCCTGCTAGTGGCTTTTCACTGTAAGGCCTTGTGTGAATCCCTGAGATAGGCAGATAAATAGAATGAATAAAAATGATCAGCTATTTAGCAGAAACTTGAAAGTCAGTCGTCCTAGGAAGCATGTGAGTCAAACAATATTGTCCAGAATGAGCAGATTGCTAATTTGGATAGCTTTCCATTTTCCCTGTTTTTAGATGGAGTTTGATCAATAAGCTCTGAGAATCCAGCAGTCTGGGTAATGAATGTTAAAGGTACATGTGAGTCTCTCACTACTGTACTTTTTTCATCAGCCTATCCTGGGTGTAAGTGATGTAGAAATGACTCCAATTTCACGCACTTTCTTGAGAGGAAAGGGAAGGAAAAAAGAGGTCAGCGTAATAGGTACCTGGCAGTACGTACAATCTCACTTAGAAGAGTAAGAGCGCTGGTATGGGGAGAGAGAAAGAGAGAGAGGGATGGAGCATGTTTACGGCATTTCACATAGAAGAGTACCAGAAGGGAAAAGGGAAAAACAGAGTGTCAGATATAAGAAGAAGTGATCACAAGCACAAAGGAATTTATATTCAAATATTTAAGCATTCTTGAAAGGATGCTCGAAGCAGAAATTTCTTTTTTCTGCTCCCCATGTAGAAATGACTTTAACACTCAGCCAGATGCTAATGCAAAGTGACTCAAGCTATTCCTCGCAAGCATAGCTAAATTGCCGTTATTTGTTAAGCGCATTGAATTCAGCTGTGGATACAGCAGTGGTTGCATTCAGAAAGCATCTGTACCCTTTTTTTTTCTTTTTTTTTTGCTTTTTTTTTTTTTTATTTAATCCTCCAAAGCAGAGACAACTCTACCTATCTCCCCCCTCTCCTCCCTTGTGCTGGCTGGGAATTGTCAAGTGACAACCGACCAAATCCTTTTGGACAGGAAGCCTTCATCCTGGGTTCTATATACTTGCAAAGCAGGCCTTGTGGTTGGATCAGGAAGCCCATTAAAAGCACTTTGATGGTATGGAAATTCATCTTCATGAAGCTCCCAGGCCCCTAAGCAGCATGCTGTTTAGCTGTGGTTACAGATCAGTCATTCACATCGGAGGGCAGTAATTGTGCTGACGGCTTGTTCGGCAATGGAAGTACATAAAATAATCCCAGGCCCTCCACCATGGCATTGCGAGTTAATCTTCTTTAATACAGATCAGCTGTTGTTCTAACACATGACTTTATGCTGGCTCTAGTGACTCTGCACAGCCTTTTGATTAAGTAACAGGAGTGGAACCATCTGCATTCACTTTATTCTGTTACTTTCCTATTGTTGGGATTCTCCTTACCCCTTCTGTTTTCACTTCACGCCCTCAACCCCAGTTGAAGTTTATTTTCCTCTCTAATTCATGCCTCCTGGTGGGCTCGTGGAGGGCAGAGAGGAGTTCTTTTACAAGGCAGCAGGAAAAAAAAATCGTTTGCTCAATTGAAAATTTTTCTAAAGTGACTGTAGGGTTTGGGGATTTTGATACAATAAATGCCAAAACTTTATTGGGGCACACTGATTTATTTTATTTTATTTTATTTTATTTTATTTTATTTTATTTTATTTTATTATTAAAGTAGACAGGAAAGGACAGAACCAAGTCTGAGCTCTCCTAGACTACAGTGGCATTTGAGTTGCTGTGGTAACCACTTCAGCCACTAAGCACTAGTTAAGAAGTTGCACTTTTTAACTTGTGGGGTATCCTTACCTGTCTCTTGCGTTTGACCCGACAGAGGAAAAGATGTAGGCTGTAAAGTTTAGGTACTTGTTCTCCTTACCCAGATATGCTCCAGGCTGTCCACTGACTGTCCAGCTATGAAGCTCAGACCCAGACAAACACCCCAACTTCTCTGAAGTTTGTGTCTGGTCTAGGACTTTAAAGTTTTCTCTTTTGTTAAGAGCAAGATTTGAGAGGAAGGCAAGTGTTGCCATTTTGAGTTATATTTTATTCTGGTTTTCCCAGTTTTCAGGGGGAGGAAAAAGAGATAGTTGGGAAAGCGGGTAGTGAGAAATAGGATGCTACCTACTGAGGGTTTCCCTTTGAAAGCTCAAGGTCCTGCCGGGAGACTTAGAGGCAGCCCCCTGAACTTCTGGGATGTTACCTTTGCTCACTGGTTGCTTCCTGACAGGGAGGTTTTGAGGTGGGAGAAGGAATTAAAAGAGGGTTAGCCTAATGTAGCTATGTGTCCGTGGGCATATTTGCACTTAGAAATGTATATTATGTCTATCGTTATGTACAGAAGAAAGACTCTCCGTTCTTTATAGTGATCTCAATCTTTATAAGCAACGCTTATCTGGAGGTATCCCAATTTTTTCTCCCTTTGCTGCAGTGGCTAGTGTAGTTATGGAGACCTACGATTCTGTGAGAACTGGGGAGTTTTTTGTTGCATGAATTTCTGCTGCAGCCTACCAGCGACGGTAGGCTCTGTGCAGTTCTGAACACGTATGTTAGACTCTTGGCAGGGATTTAGCTGCCAGGGGTAGCTGGGCAGGCTCAGGGCTGGAAATCACCTTTGTGAGTCTCTGTTAAAGCTCTTGGGGCTTTTCTCCGCACGTGTACATGACCCATTATCTGGCTCGTGTTCCCAGATGGGTTAATCCCTGTGGACAGGCAGACCTGCCAGCTGTAAGGCAGTAGTCAGACAGGAATTTTGCGGAATTGGAGAGAAACTGTATAAAAGGAGTCATAAATGAGAAAAGATTTTTAAAAATGGCTAAGATGATTTGGGTGAGTCACTTTATGGGCATCTGACTTGGACCATCTTGAGGGATTTGATTTTCAGAGGATTACAGTAAAAACTATGAGCATCATGATGAACATGGATTTTACTAAAACCTATTTTAATTGCAAATGCAATAAAACATATTTTTACATTACTTTTCTTGGAAACATTTCCATGTATAAATGAGAAGTGTGTGTATATGTTTTTCTGGTTTCTTGGAAACCCAGGACCATAGTTTTATTTGTAATTATCATCTACAGTTAATTATAGCTTGATATGTACTATACATAAACAATGTTAGCTTTTTTACATGTAGCTTAGAGTGCAGATTTTCATCTGGTGAGAATACCACAGCAGGCAACATCAGCAAGTGTACTCTGGTCCATTTGTTTGGCCCCAAAACTGCCTGTTCCACTGCGAAGGAGTTGTACACAAACACCAAGAGCCAGCACGTGTGTGCGTGCGTGCCAGCCTGCAGTGCACTCTTTCAGAGCTATGCAGCACAGACATGCACCGAGCTAGCCAGTGATTTTCTGATGATAGACAGTCAGGCTCTCAAGCATTAGTGTGTGTACCCTGGTAACTGTGAAAAAGGAGGATTTATCTCCTTCTCTGGAGATATTCAAGACCCGCCTGGACAAGGTCCTGTGCAGCCTGCTGTAGGTGACCCTGCTTCGGCAGGAGGGTTGGACTAGATGACCCACAGAGGTCCCTTCCAACCCCTACCATTCTGTGATTCTGTGATTCTGTGAGGAAGGGTGAGCGTGTGTCTGTGGACACTGGTGCAAACGCAGGTGCTGGTTTCCAAATGCTGGCGCCTGCTGCTAAAGGTGCCGGCGGCTGGGGCGGGTGTGGGAGTATACGCAGCCCCGCAAGCATTGCAGATGTGCATGGACGCAGTCACACTCGCAGCGCGCTCCGAGATGAGTGCATCCGAGCAGGCAGATGTCCTGTGCTGAAGTGTTTCTTAACCTGTGATACAAGTTCTCCCTGTTACAGCTTGGAGTGTGGCCTTTTAAAAGGCTCTGACATGTACTTGTGTGCTGGGCTGTAACTAAAGAGCTATTTGTAACAATATTTATTCCAGCATTGTGAGCTGGAGCCTATTTATTGCTCGTGCTTGCGGAACAGTGGGTTCAGGGTGCCTTTTCCTCCCATTCCCATCCACCCTCCTCCCACCATCCTCCCCGCCCCCACCCTACCTCTCCCTCTTCCCCTTAAGAGA